ATAGACAAAATTTAGATAATTTAGGAGGCGGGCTTCCGACCCTACTTATAGGGCTGAGAGAGATGCAACATCCCAGTAGAAAGACCTTTTTAGGTTAGGTAAAGGATTTTCGGCGCTCGCAACTGCAAAAGGTCATATGAGCGCCAAGGGGTTGATGTCAACAGAGAAGTCCTTTCAGGGAATCAGACTTACTCTGCTCATCTCTCTGGCTTCAACAGCACAAGTAGTAGAAAGACTGAGGAACTCGAAAACAATTCTCCAGGTTGAGGAATCGAACTCGGGTCTCATGCGTGCCGTATCCAAGCGCCTAACCACTACACCATAGATACCGGTCGACATGCACTCATAGAGACAATATTTAATGGTTACATAAAAAAGATGTAATAGGAGAAGACCACTCCAGGGCATCCACAAACCAATACAAATAACAGTGATCTAAACACTTCACAGTTTAGTTTTAGTTTTAGTAGAGGTGTTACGGTGCTCGCAACTGCATAAGGTCATATGAGCGCCAGAAGATTAGAGGTGTTACAAGAGAGTAACAAACATAAAAAAGAAGGATGGGGAGATAAGGACGATAGATGTTTGACAGGAAAGAAGGAGCAAACCACATCAGAGCACCCGCCAACCACCCACAAACACTTCACAGAGCTGCTTATGTTTTTTGTTTTTCTTTTCGGGGGGGGGGGAGGGTTGTTTCAGTAAGCATTTTATGGTACTTGCAACACAATTAAGTCAAATAAGTGCCAAAGATTAGAGTATTACAAGAGAGTAACAAAAACAAACAAGAAGGAGAAAACATATAAGGGAGATATAGATTTTTGACAGGAAAGAAGGCCCAAACCATATTAAAGCACCCGCCAACCACCCACTTGTGCATGTGATAGTAGGAAACAGACTAACTTGTTACACGGCAAAATACCAGGAACTGCCTTAAATAAATGAAAACTAACAAGAAAATGAGTTCTGTAAGACCATAAGGCACCATAAAAACACAAATGCACACACAAACAAATAATTCAGAATACATACATGAATATTATTTTATATATAATAATAATATGAAAGCTTTGAACAACATAAGATAGCACAGATAGAATTTCAAATTCAGAACAACTTATGGAGAATGGTAAATATACACCTATAATTACTGAGAGCCCTGCAAAAGTGTTACTACTGTGGATAAAGTACAGGAAAAGTACACACACACCAGTCACAGAAAATATTGACAACCCAATAGCGTGATAATTCTAAAAGTTTATCAGTTCCTTTCACTGGAACTGTTAGTACTGATAAGAATAGAAGACCATGCCTTTAATCTATTATTATTATATATAAACAACAAAAAGAAACAATGTCTTTCATACAACGACAAAACATATAACTACCTAATCGCACACTAAAAGCAACCAAAAAATGCAAAGACGAAACAAAATAAATACAGGACTGAACACATTCATACACAAACAAGAGCATGTTCAAGTAGAATGGACTATTTGTTTGTTTTAGTGAAAGATTTACGGCACTTGCAACACAATAAGGTCATATAAGTGCCAAAGATTAAAGGTGTTACAAGAGAGTACGGTAACAAACACAAAATAGAAGGAAGGGAGATATATAAGGAAGGACGATAGATGTTCGATAGGATGAAAGAAGGAGCAAACCGCACCAGAGCACCAATCAACTACCCACAGAATGCACTGTGATTTTATCTTTTATCTTGGAACTGTTCTATCAAAGACAAATACCGTCCAAACAGTCTAAGGCAATGACCCATTGTGGGGATAAAAATGGTCATCTTAGACAGGTGGATGTCTTAAATAAGTGTGATTTATTACAATGTAAAAAAATATGCAAGGGACAAAACAAGAAGTGGCCGTATGTACAGGTAATTGTTTTAGACAGGTGGCTGAACTGTTAGACCAGGTTCGACTGTACTAAAAAGTAGCTTCATTACAGAGTAATCTAAGTTGAGACACAGAAATCCACTCATTGTGACTGGATATGAAAAAAAAAAAAGTTAACTAGGGTACCTGCCATGAACTCCCCACCAATTTCAAGGAGATTTCAAGGAGAATTTTAAAAGTTCAAGGAGATTTGGTCAAGAAATTAATGCCGAAAGCGTAGGCCCACATTCGTCCAAAAGGAATCATAGTTTCAATTTTCCTACAAATATTTTGTTCATGTTCGATCTGGCGAAATTCAAGTTTTCAAGGAGGTTCCTCAAATTCAAGGAGTTTCAAGGAGAGTTTTCCATGAAGGCAAATTCAAGGAGGCCACAGGAACACGAGTTTACTTACGTGACAGCAAGAGACCATAAAGAGAGCTAGAATAAAATGACTGCAACAGGACAGAGGTGGAACAAACGTGGCAGTCAAGATGACAGAAGAGTATGAAAAGAATGAATAACAATTAAATAATTTTCAAAAGTTTAAAGGACGAAGTGTATAAACTACACTTGTGACCTATTGAAGCTATAAAATTCAATGTAACACTCGTTTCATAAATTGAGTCCTTTCTATGTTTGTACTGGGCATACATAACATGCTAACCTGGAAAAAAAAATTACGCTTACTCAGTTCGACATCAACTATGGGCAAAAATTATTTCCAAAATATCAGAATTCAAATTATCTGCAAAATAGTTTCAGGCAGTGCCCTTATGTATTTTTCTTGACACATCTTTGGTTTTTTCCAATATATAATGCTGCTAAATATGTTTTTATATTACTTGTGGTGGAAATTGATACACATTGGTCCACATTTTTTAAAAGTTCAGAAAGCTAAACAGGTGAAAATTATTTTTTTATGCGTTTTGAGACAATGAGTGTTTAAGTTAACGCTGGCAGTATTGCATACAGACAGGAGTCATTTTTGGCGGCCTTTGAGATATGTCTGTATGCAAACTGCCCGCGTTAAGATAAAGCCAATATCTTTCACTTTCACAGCAAACGTAAAAAATTAAGCTGGTGAATTTGGGCCTAGCAATAATCAGAGAATAATAACACAAGAAGAAAAAAAGAAAGAAAAAAAACAATAAGTCATTAAGTTAAAGTCATAAACAGGAGTGAACTCAAAGCAGCAATTAATTTTGGGTCACGGCATATCAAAAGGATCTGCGAGATTATGTTAGAACGAAGGTCATGTCCACAGTATTATATTTTTTATTTAAAGTTCGAGTGTAAAGCAGATACATAGGGCCTACACTTGAGCACATGACATATATAGAGAACGCACACAAAGTTAACAGATTTTCAGGTCTCCAATAGTTTCTAACATGTTTATATATATATATATTCTTTATATTTAAACATGTACAAATA